ATATGCCTTTTGCTAAACTGCATTTTTTTGTCCTTTTTTGCTTTAATATATTAAGCAAAACTATACAATGGGTTCATAATTATCTTCTGGACATTCAAAGATCATCAGGTCGTAGCCCAACAGAGTATCAAAGTGCCATAAGGCGCCGTTGACATAGCATGAGCCACGCTACACACAAACCGATCTTAAATCTGGCCTGTTATAATTTTCCCGACAACGTCTTTAAATGCAGCCGTCCTCTTTTAATTTTTAGATTTGAATTCCGTCCGCCGTCGTTCTGTAGTTTTTATTTGATGGATTTGTGTCTCTTACGACAAGAATCTATAAATCGGAGCGATCTGGTTAACCTGTAAATCGTGTGTACGCTTTAATAGTTCTGCAGCTCACAGTAGTGCCTTGCGTGTGTTTATCTGGGTCCGCAGAGGCTAGATAGCGATCTTCTGTTGTCTTGGAAGGGAAATGTGGTGAGTAAATGACCTCCGGACCATTTTAAGGTTATTTTGATAGAAAGACCTTGCTGGGGTCTTTTTTTTCTTTTGCTGTGCCTGTGAAGATTGAGCTACATGAAGGCAAGCTTAATTGTGTAAGCTCATTGGGTGCCCCCATCTCCCCCCCTCTCTGCAGGTTGGCCAGCCCTGCAGTATCCCCCCACTCTCCTATGCAGTCAGATGTACATTATGATCCCCTGTGTTCTATAATAACACTGCTCATTTCTTAATACTAGTTGGAAACCCCCAGCATCTGTTTTCTTTGTTTTTTGGTCATTCGCAATATTGGCAATAATTCTGAAGTTACTGCAATATAACCATTGACATAAAATGGGAAATTGGGCAATGCAGACAGAATCAGATGCTTGTACGTCAGTCAACTACTAAAAAAAAAAGGTTTTTCCAGTATTGGCTTCATTCGGTAGCTTTCAGGCAGGAAACAATGTGACTGTATTTGTTATCTTGATCGAGCAAATAAGCTGAATCAGTGTTGTATTGGCATGCATATGGATCTTCGGAGCGTGAAGACAAAGACGCCTACGTAATAGATGGGATTTAATTTCTATACATAGGCTTGCCAGCAATCTGCTATTAGTAGCATTTTTTATTAACATCATGTTGATCCTCGCCCTGCAATCACCGGATAATTAAAAACTTCAGCAGTGGAGTCTGCACAGGACCCCCTATATGATAATTAACATAAGTTTCTATTTAGGCTCTCTGAGTCAATGACCCACCAAGTGCTCACCCCGTTCCCTAGTCTGAGTAAGCCAATCTCAGCTATATATATAACAGCCATGTTATATTCATGGCTTTGTTTAGGGGAAATTTGACAGCCCAATATTCATGCCGTAGACCCAGGGAGGGTGAGGAACAGTGGCTGGGTGCCTGTGGGCTATAGACATAGAACGGTGGCCAGTTCTGCCTTTCATTGCACCAATACTCCAGCCTCTGGGTATGCGTTATAATTCAAGGCCACCATACCTGGTGGATTTCCTTTAAAATTACCATTTTAGGGACCAAAATGACCAATTAGCCTACAAAGAAAACAAATCGCTGCATCGGACAGGAAATTGGTGCAAGTCGAGGTTTAAATTGTATCATACCTGCACCTTCCATCTCTTTCATCCAGGCTGTGATGTGTAAGAAGGTAGCTGGCTTTATCCGCAGTGTGTTTTTTTTTTTGGAAGCCTAGTTCTATGTTTGTAAAAAAGAAATAAATAAGATTTGAGGATAATAGTGTCGCCTGTTTAAGCAAAACAAATAGAGTTTCTGCTTTTAGCATCGTATCAGTGAACAGACTGTGCTTTGCGAAAGCAGAATGTTGTTTACAAGTGTCGCACTTCTTCAATGAAATTTGTGATCGCTTTTCTTTTATCCTCCGTGCTCAAAGCTTTCTTTCTTTGCAGTGGGAGATCCAACTGATCTGCAGTCCGGGGTTCTGATACCCTGGGGCATGTTGTAGGTTTGCCCTCCTGTTCCACCACTCCATGCTGATTGACGGCACAGCTTGCATTGAGCAGAAAAGGAAAAACTACTATTTAATGAAGGGAGCTGATCTTTTTTTTTGGTTCAGACCTCCTCAGCTTAGACATGTGGTCCTTTTTTTTTTTTTCTCTTCCACATGTATCTCACCGTTAAAGGTATTGGGACCCCATATATAGCGCTGTTGCATTCAAAGCAGAACTCACTGCAAATTTTCTCTTAACCGTTGCAGTGGGGCTACATCCGCTTTGCAGGGGTTAAGTGCTCATTTTTTTCTAGGGGCAAAAATAAAGACGATACACTCACCCGATCCTCACTCCTGCAGCAGGGACCACTCATCTCTCCCCTCCTCCACTCTGTCTGTGGTACATGTAATAGACCTGTATTACATGTGATGACGTCACAGGTCCTTTAGACTGCAAGAGCCTGGCAGAGAGTGGCTGCTGGGACGGGTCTAGCGCTTGATGGGAACGAGAATCTAGGTGTTAAAAAAAAATTATACTCGCCTGAACTGCATAGCTGGCTGGCTGCTACTCTGCACCCTGAAGCCTGTCTTCTCTGCTCCAGCAATGGTATGTCCCTTGGCATGCTCACGTCCTATACACTGTGTATAGAATATGATGACTCCTGGACCTTAGACCACTTCAGCAGAGTGGGAGAGAGGCTCCGGGAGCTGGTCTGAGAGCAAGCCACCTCCAAGGATAGGGTGAATATAGCTCTCTCTTTTTTTTTTTTTTTTAGCATCTAGACAAAAATGAGCATTTAAGTGGGGCTACCCCGGCACTGCAAGGGCTAAGAACTGTCGAGATCCACCCAGCTGCGTGAGTGACAGCTGGCTCTGCCTATCTAGAGGCAGAGCCAGTTGTACCTGCCTCGTCCCCCGTCCGTTCCGCCAGTCAGCGCTGGAGGATCGGAGTGGGGAGGGGTGGAATCTCTGCAGGGACAGGATCGAGAAGTGAGCGAGTGACGGTATGTGTTCGCTCACTTCCCAATATATTGAGCCGACGTGTGACAGTTTCATTGTCACACTTCGGCTCGAACTATGAGGTTGAGTAAAAATCATTCACCTCATAGTTCTCCTTTAACTTCATAGTTAACCCCCTTACACACACAAACAGCAGGCGGTACAGAAACACGCACCGTTCACAGCATCTGCTGTAGCAATTCTGACCTGTAAGAAATGTCAGTGACACACACTACCATGCCCAGATAGGAATGTAACAGAGTTTTCAAATTCAGTAATACCTCAGAGAAGCAAGGAGTCTTTAATTTTTGATGTAGAACATTCAGAGATTCAGCATAAGAATTGCAAATATCATTTAATGAAAATATTTACTGTCATTCATCCACCAAGAACATAAAGCCCATTTCTACCTTTGCTGAGGTATTTTTTTTTTCAATCAAGAATTTTTTTATTTTGTTTTACAATATAAAACTTTAGTCCAACATGGCAGAGACATAGGTTCACATGAGATGACAAGACATGAACATTTAGTTACTTCAACTTTCTCTGCATAGGCATTGCTGCTGTGGGAGCAGCATATAACGATTTAAAGTGTACAGTTACCAGTAAACACTACTGATATCATTGGTCTAGGAGCATTAGTGAACTTCTAATTCTAGACGTAACAGGCTGAGGTATTTTTAAGAAAACATATGCCAGCATATGTACACCGAGTGAACACGAAGCAGGCATATGCTGTTGCTGTAGACGAACACAAAAACTTACATTTTTTGTTAGCTTTCCTCTTCACATCTTCATGGAAATAGCTGCAATTGTGCTTTGCAAGTAATGTGTGTATAGTACAAGTGAACACTCTCCCCCTAAGCCCCCGCCCCCTATTCATTAGTAATTCTTAGTGGCAACCCCCCAGACAGTGTATTGTGTGCAAAGGCAGAGCTGCTGTTTATTGATCGTGTTACAATGAATAACAGGAAGGGGGAGAGCTGTTGTAATTCTACTTTACCGCCAACCCTGGTGTTAGACTGAGTTTCCTGTGGAGAACATTTTGAATTTCTAGGATTCAGGCCTAATAAAAACTTCATAAAAAAATGAAGACAGCCTGCAACGTGAGTCATGAAAATGTGCACATGTACTGTATACATCATCACTGCACCTCTACATTACTACAATACATGCTATTCGCTTACAAAGAAGAAATGGACTTTAAAGTTCTGTGCAGTAATCCATGACAACCAATCCGCCTTTATCGTATGGTTACAGCAGGGGTGGACAAATGAATATGGAATTCTCA